AATAGTATTATAAATAAAGTCAAAGATTTCAGATTTTGTATCGCAATATTTTCGCTTGTAGAACACGTAGAGAAAAAATAAAAACACTTTTATTATATATTTTGAGCAGATGCAATCGATTGAGCACACTTAGAACCTGATCAGTTCAGCCCTTATTGAGATCCAATAATCTCAATCCCTGGCAACTCGCCGGCTCGCGTAAAGTAATCACAACAGTGTAGCTTAACGCCAAGACACTACGAGTACCAGTATCTCCAGATAAATTAATTTGATTTAACAAATATTTCTTTTTATTGAATAAATATTTATTTATTGTAAATAAATGTTCAGTTGGTCGATATTAAATTCAACATTTATTAAAATATTTCTGTTTTCTTTTAAAAACTAGAACGCTTCAGAAATGTTGAAAAATGTATATCTTTTTCAAAATTTCCTTTGTATATAAATTCTGTAATATTCTAAGATTTTTCATTCTATATTCTCCGAAAAAACTTATAAAATTTGAAGAAGATTTTTATAAGTTCTCTAATATAACTATTTATACATTAATATTCTAAATTATAATTTCTGATAATATGATAAATTTATAAAAATATTATGGAATATTATAAAAACTTTTTTTCATCAGAGTGATATTGCTCAATTCTTTTGTAACCAGAGCAGAAATAATACTGCTACGAGGGCAAGTCAATAAGTTCTTAGAAAATCTGTCAGAGGCCACTCGCAGTGTCATGTCACATTACTTTTTGACAAGTAGCATCTTTTAGCTGATTACTGTCAAATTTTGAGCGGAATTCATCGCGTGGTTTTATTTCTGTAGACGATTAAAGCGAACAACTTTTGTATTTTTTGCAAAATGGAAAAAAACGAGTTTCGTGCAGTGATCAAACATCTACATATGAAAGGTTTAACGCCGGAAGAAATCACAGCCGAGGATAATGTTTATAGCACATCTGTACTAGCGTTTGTGACTGTATACAATTGGGTGAATGAATTTAAACGTGATCGTACATCCACATGTGATGCATCTCGTTCGGGACGTCCAATTGAGGTTGCTACGCCAGTAATTATCGATAAAATCCACGATATTTGACTGATCGACGAGTGAAAGTGCGCGAGCTTGTTGAGGCCACAGGCATATCACATGGCACAGTGATTTCAATTTTGCACGAACAATTGGGTATGAAAAAGCTATCGGCAAGATGGGTGCCGCGTTTGCTCACTGTGGACCATAAGACGACCATGTAACGATTTCAAAACAATGTTTGGAGATGTTTAAACGTAATCCAGATGAATTTTTGCGTCAATTCATTATTGTGGACGAAACATGGATCCATTACTTCACACCCGAGACGAAGGAACAGTCAAACAATGGACTTCACCGGGTGAATCAACTCCGAAGAAGGCAAAGACTGTGAAGTCGATTGGAAAGATGATGGCCACAGTTTTTTGGGATGCACGCGGTATAATTCATATCGATTACCTTCCATCGAAGCAAACGATTAATGGCGATTACTACGCAGCCTTATTGGACCGTTTCAACAACATTTGAAAAAAAAATATCCCCATTTGACGAAGAAGAAAGTGCTCTTCCATCAAGACAATGCACGGGTTCACACGTACCCAGCAGCGATGGCCAAATTCAACGAATTCCGCTACGAATTGCTTCCCCATCCAGCATATTCACCAGATTTAGCCCCCTGCGACTATTTCCTGTTTCCCAAACCTGCACGCACGCACGCACGCACGCACGCACGCACGCACGCACGCACGCACGCACACACAATTCTGATCAATCCATCTCTACGCAGTTCATATTAGGAAAAACATACATATAACCATAATTTCGATCAATAACAATGGTATTTTAAATCGCAAATAATTTAGTAAAAGCGCTCACATCGAGCTCAGTAAAAGATTATTTTAAAGATAATACTGTTCTTTCAAATGCATTTTGTTGTATTGGCCTGTGACATCTAATTCACCTCATGTACTATTGCCAGGGTTGAGAAGTAACTAATTACTTGTAACTAATAGCGTTTTCTCTTGGCTACACTATCGCCCACTAGTGCAATACTCAGATAGTGTACCGTGTTTCCATAGCTGGTGATAAGCGAATTCATTCGGATGTACCGTATTTCCGTGGCTACGGTGTAGTGCAAATTTTATGCCCGAAGTGGGATTTTGCTATACCGTCTCAAAGGGATGGTGTAGATCCAGTATGACATTTAAAATTTAAAAATGGAAATCAAGCGGGAATAGGGTTTTAGATTTCAATAATGATGTAGTATACACCATGGTGTGCACCATTTTGGTGTAGTGTAGCTAAGTGTAGCACTTACACGCAACTGGTGCGATGCGAGGTCTTCACTCAGTGTATCCCAAGAGAAAACGCTATAAGTTACAGTTACAGTTACTTTTTTTCAGTAACTGAAACTTAATTTAGTTCCTTTTTTCCGTCTTTAACTGTAACTTAACTTAGTTACATTTCTTTCAACTAAATACTAACTAGTAACTAATTTAACAGTTACTTTTACAGTTACTTTATATTTTAAACTTATTTGTCAATTTAATGTGATTGATTAAAATCTGAATACTGATTAAGGCTACAGTTCATTTGATGTTACAAATGCTTCGAAATATTTATAGCGCTAAGGGTGTGTTCCACAACATACACAATGCTCGCGTGTATCATTTTATTGTTTAATATTTGTAAACAACAAGGATAAAATGATATTTGCGATCGTTGTGAACGTAAATGGAACGCACCGTGTTTTAGAACGCAGCCCAGTGCGAATATTTTATTATTTCGTCCGTTATTTAAGTTATCTCGCGTATATTCCTGCGAAATTAAAAAAATTTTAAATAAAATTGTATATTGAAAACGTAAATGATTTGTTTCTTTGATAGCTCTAATGATATTGTTATCACTCATATTGTTCTGTCATGATAACAGAAAAGTAACTAAAAAGTAACTGAAAAGTGTGTGTGTGTGTTTACTTTTGTAGTAACTGTAATTGTAACGAGTTAATTTTTAGTCTCGGTAACTTGGAATTTTAACTAGTTATTATTGAAAGAAAAAAAACTGTAACTATAACTAGTTATTTTTACAGAGTAACTTTCTCTGACTATTGTAAACTCGGATCTTTAATTATCAATTTGATTATTATATGCATATTCTTACTTCGTTATTATTTAAAAAAAAATAGCCGAGAATTTCTGAAAATGAACATTTGAAACCTCATTGTAATATATTTTTATCTTTATTATTTACCACATTTAAAATTTGATAACTATTTTCAACTTTTGCTTTACTGAGCAGTAGAATTATTATACGTAGTGTTATTATAGTAATCAAAAAAATTTTGCAGGCACTGTTGTGCTACGTAAAAGGTACTGTAAACATGCTACGAAACTGCATGTTCTGCGTCAATTGTATGCGTTCATGTGCGCTTTTTAGTGAATTTTCATAGTGAAAGCGCTTTAAAGCGCTAAAAAACATGCACCTACATAAGCGCTTTTTTAATGTTTTATAAGCACTGCTGTGCTACGTGAGTAATTTTATCATGTTTATTCTGGAATATGAAACTAATCAATAATACTTATTTCAGTAATAAAACGGGATTAATTAATTTTTTTATCAGGATTGTAATGTTCTATTAAATATTTTTTATAATATCTACCACAATATTTACGATAAATATTTCATAATGAATATAATAAGTCTTCATACTCGGTGCAATTTAAGACCACAAAAATATTTATAATTAAAATATAGTTATTTTAAAAAATTTTTAAATTTAAGTGGGACACCCTCTAAATAGTTCAATATTTCAACAAAATAACACCAGAATTTTTTTGATTTTTTTCAATTTTAATTCGTGCCATCGATGCACGGAAAAATATCTTTGTGGACAAAATTCAACTAACGCTCTAATTCTTATTCAATTAAAAAATTTTTTTTTTAATTTGCTCAAAATTGAATGAGCTAAAAGCTATTCTGCATAAATTTTAATTATGGTTTAAAGTAAAAATAACGGTTCAATAAAATAAGCAAAAAAAAAATTAAAATTATACGATAAAAAATATTGAATCGCGCGCGGCTATTTTTAATTTGGAGCGTAATCAAAATTTTCGCAGAATGTACTTATAGTTTATTTAATTTCGAGCAAATTAAAAAAAAACTTTAAAATTAGTTAAAAATTAGAGTATCGATTGAATTTGTTTATCTATTATGCAGAGCCTTAACATTTAGAAAAGCTCTGCAGTTAAGTTTTTTGTTTAAAAATAGATGCGATGCAAGTCGGTGTTAAATCGCGGTGTCAAAAATAGGTATGCAAGATGCAAATGCGTAATACAATACATTTTATCACGTATATCTATTTATACCGTTTTTTTTATTTATGCACATCGTTTTTTTTTTCAACAAAAAACTTAACTTGCAGAGCTTTTTTTAGACTCCTCACAATGGGCGGAAAAATTTAGCTGATACTCTAATTCTTAATCAATTTTAAAGTTTTTTTAATTTGCTCTGAAATTGAATGAACTGTAGCCACTTAAAGTGATCGATCCGAAATGAGCAAAAAAATCAATATTATGTGATAACGAATATTGGAACGGCCATTTTTAATTTGAATCGTAATTAAAATTTACGCAGAATGGGCATTAAGCTCATTCAATTTCGAAAAACAAATTAAAAATAACTTTAAAATTGGTTAAGAATTAGAGCATCGACTGAATTTGGTCCACAAAGGTGTATTTCCGTCTATCCATGCCTCGTAGGCACGGATTAAAATTGTTCAAAAAAATCTGAAAAAATTCTGATGTTTTTTTTGGGATTTTAAATTACGTTTAAAAGGTAGTTTAATGTCTAAATTAACCACCTTTGATGATGTCCTGATTAAATTTTAAAAACTATTAAAATGACGACCCTTACGTACACCGTTTTTTTAATATACATTTTTTAGCACTTTTTAAATGCTTTATAGGCATTATGTGTTACTTGGAGTCAAATTGAAATCAGATATCGCGCGAGATTTAGTCAACCAATGGCAGACCATTGGGTAATTTTAGTTGTATGGTGCACAGAGACTGCGCTACATTGCGGGATGCTGTATAATCAATACTGTCATGCTCCGGACCAAAAAGCGGAATCGAGAAACTGCATGTCATCTAACAACATCATGAAAACTGAAAGACATACTTGTGCGCCACATATCGATGGTGAGTCAGAATATTTTTCGATTTTTACGTCAACTATTTAAATATCTAGTAAATCAGAAAATAATGCTCACATCATTTGAAGTGACTCTCTCTCTCTCTCTCTCTCTCTCTCTCTCTCTCTCTCTCTCTCTCTCTCTCTCTCTCTCTCTCTCTCTCTAAAAAATTAAGATAAATATAAGAGTAAAATAATTTAGATTACAGCCGAAACATGCGTAACTCACTATATATGTCGATTATTGCGAAGAGTGTTGCTAAGGTCTCGGTAGTCTAAAGGCTCAGGACGCTCGCACGGAATGCAAGAGATCCGGGTTCGACTCCCGGCCGAGGCAATATTTTTTCGCAATAAATTATTACAGTTTTTTAAGATTTGGCAGAATTTGGGGGGATTTATTTGTTTCAGATTGATTGTGTGAATCCGATAATTTCATCGGCTCTCAATTTATGTCTGAAATATTAATTCAATTTTATTGAATGTATATTAAGACAGTAGTTCAACATCTTAATACTGTGACCGCGAAGGCGCTGTGTTCAATGAGTGTAGTAATTTAGATTACTTCAGTTGCTTGATCTTCTGAACAAATAATAAATTAATATTATAATTCGACTCAAAATGATTAATATTAACAAATAAAAAGGGGCCATGAGCCAAAGCAATTTATTATTTCTAATATTTTAATGTAAAACATTTCATAAACAAACTTTTCGACCTTCTAAGAGAGTCTTCCCAATGTTAAAATACATATTAAGTAAATACATATTAAGTAAAACATAATAAAGTCAATTTTAAACTAAACGATAAAAATACATATTTTTAATTAGACGCTTATTAACAATAAATTAACACTTCATTGAATACATCAATTGATTTGAACTTAAAACGTTTAACAGTATTATTTTAACTAAGAAGTCCAGTAGTGAAACAGTTCGATTGGCAACTCATGTACAATATACAGTTAGTACTCGTCGAAATGGAGAGATGAATTTGTTATTAATAAGCGTCTATTTAAAAATATGTAAACAAATATATATAATGAGGCTCGAAAGAATCTATCAGTAAAAAATATAAAAAAGCCCATCAGAGCCTACATCGCTATTCGGATGCATAAAAATTCTTTTTCGTATGAATGTAACAAAACAAATATACGTTTCAACCTTCAGTTCGGGTCCTTGTCAATATAAAATATAAATCGAAATTACATAAATAACGCAAATTCCAAGTTGATGATTCCCGACAAATTAGTTCGTTCTTCTTTATCCAAATGCCAAATTAGCTATGTAATGAATAGCCCAATGATTATCAAAATTATTACATTATACAATAATAATATAAAACTTACATAAAGTAAAACCGAAGTCATATGCATTGCGTTACTATGTAAAATCACATCGCTCATCAGATTGTCAGATTTACTGTGTAGTCATTCAAAAGAAACACGAAACGAAAATTAGAGAATTATTAAAATCATTTGTCTGAATTTTTTATTATATCAACTTACATGTGTAAGCGTTTTCTCGCGGCTTATCGTAAAGGTCTTATGTCGACAGTCAGAGATACAATGAGAGTCAAAATAATAAAGTCAAATAGTTATTGAGATAAAAATAAAACTAAGAACAAAAGAGGGTAATATCAACGTCACAATTCAATAAACAAATTCATGTATAGTGGATCCAAAGAATATCATTCTTAAATTTAAACTCTGTTTCTGTTGCTTTATATGAATCGCTTTCGAAATCAATCTTTTTATTAAGTACTTTTTCTTCGTCTAATATCTTGACATTTTTCCAATGAAAATCATGCTGATGACTGATTCTGTGTTCTGTTATTACGGAATGCTGTGTAGTGTTTCAATTTATGTGATTTTTATGTTCATTTATGCGTCTCTTCAAACATCTACCTGTTTGGCTCACATATGACACTTCACAATCTCGACAATCAATCTTATATACAACGTCTGTATAAGATAACTTGGAACGAACGTCTTTATGACCCCTGATGAACCCCCTGAGATTAATCCTTTTATATGCCATGTGTATTAAGGAGTCTTTTTAAAAAAATTTTTTAAATCTTTTCCGATAAAAGTGGTTTTCATGACTTCCAGAAAAAGTCTCTCTCAATTAATTAATTAATTAATTAGTAATGAAAGTAAGTATAATATAATGAAAAAGAATTAATGTAGTAACAAAGAATAATAAAGGATAACTGTAGTAAAATCATTGTATAGAATAAAAAATTATTGTATAGAATAGTAATGAGTTAGAATCTTAAAGGGAAATTGATCAAGTATTAGTTTTTAATAAAAGATAGTAAATGTTTATGAATGGAGTTTAAATCCGATGCACCTATCTGTTATATCAAAAATATTAAATGAAACCAAAAAAGTTAGAAAAGTCAATATATGAGCAATTATAAACTAGTTTATTAAGATGACAAAACGAATAAATTAAAAACTAGTATAAAATAGTAGAACTTTACTTACTTATTGTTCATTAGTCTTCATCAATCAATTAAAATACAACAACGAATAAAACAAAAGTTAAAAACATAATAAATTACAATAAATAACAGATTCGTTGAATTGAATACTGAAACATTAGAATGATTCTCAGTCACGCGAAAAAATGAAACATTAAGACATATCCCGCTACAAAATTTTTCATGCATATATATCTATGAACATACATAAAAATATGTATAAACATACATAAACATGTATAAATATTCATAAACATACATGTATAATTATGTATGAAATATACATGTTCATACATACATGTTCATACATACTTCTTTCTTTTATAAAATTACTTTTGATGTCATAAAAATATTAATAATTAGTCAGAAAATATAAAAAATAATTTGAAGAATAATTGTAATTATAATGAAACACATTTTTTCCGGGTTCTTTTTTAAAGTATTATAAAAATCCAAATAAATTTTCGATATTAAACCCCATTCATACTTTTATTAAAAATTAATGCTGGATCAATTTCCTTTTAAGAATGTATTACACATACAGTCCCCGCAAAGAAAATTAAATTTGGAAGTATATTTATAAAAACTTCAAATAAACTATACACATATGAAAGTTATAACAACAATATAATATCTTATTCACATTTTTGTTTAATAATACATTTTTGTAGTTTATTCATTCTATTTGTTATTATTTTTATTGTCAGAAATAAAAATTTTTTTAAATAAAAGAATTACAAAGGTTAAATAATAAAGAGCATACAGCCACGACAAAGGATGTAAACAAGATGTATATTTTGTAAAAATTTTTCAAATAAATAAGTAGACGTTTCGGTCAAGGTTTGACCATCCTCAGTACAATAAAAGATGACATTAAAAACTTATAACTAAAACGCAAGTCAAAAGTTAAAAATAATAATAAATAGACTAAAAATTATATGATATTTTTAGCAGCAAAATAAAAAAATTATGAAGAATAGATAACTTAGCAGGGCACGAAGACTCATCGGTACATCAAGATATGTAACACGTTTAAGTGATAATTAATTTTATCGTCCTAATACTGACAAAGGCCAACAATCATGGTATATTTATATTAAGGAAGGATAGGGAAGGGGTAAAGAAAAGAAAGGAAGGAGAAAATGTTAAGAGTGGGACTTAAAACTATTTTCAATAAGTGGGAGATAGACTTCGGGGAACCGTTCAGTATATACCGCTCTGTTTATTTAAACCATTTTTTTTGCACTTTAATATGTATCATTTCCGCAACCAATCTTTTGTAATAGGAACCTTCTGAATCCAATATCTTGGCATTTTCCTAATCCATCTCATGGTCCTTTTCCAGTCTGTGGCATGAGATAACCGAATGGGAGCTAGGAGGTTTTTTCAAATCATTCATATGTTCTTTTAGACGAGTCTTTAATTTTCTTTTGGTCTGACCAACGTATGAATAATTGCAATCCTTGCAATAGACTTAGTATACAATATTCAAAAATTCCACTTTTTTAATCTTATCTTTTCCTGTTTTTATGCCTATTCATGCTATTCACAGGTTTGTATACCAAATCAAATTGAAACTTGTTTAACGTTGATTTGAATTTCTCAGAGATTCGCTTAAGGTACGGAATAGTAAAGAATTTTTTGTTTATGACGTATCCGCGTGAAAATTAACATTATGTTCTTTAATGAAATTAAAATTCTTTTTTACTGACCAAATTTTAATTCTGTTGTTTATCGTTGCAAATAAAAATTGCAACGGATATCCGTTACAGTTTGTAGAGTGGTCATTAAGGAACCGATGTTGATGTTGTGGAATTTGGGATGAGAAAGAAATAGAACTCTGTTCAATAAATCAATCACCACACCTCTTTTGTGTGAGATAGGGTGATTCGAATAAAAATTCAGATATCTACCCGAATTTGTAGGCTTCTTATATATATCAAAAATAATTCTCCCTCTATCAATCAATAGTTTGACGTCTAGAAAGTTTATGCCTGTCATCGCCAAAATCCACTGTAAATTTGATGCGTTCATGGTACGCATTGAAAGAATCCAAAATGCTGGTAATGAGATTGTTCGGAGCCGCAAAAACGATATCATCCACATACCGAAAATAAAAAGGAATGTGTGTGGTGAGTGTATTAAAAATGTCATTCTCCAAATCCTGGATCACTACATCAGCTAAAATCGGAGAAAGAGGAGATCCCATGGGCAGATCAAAAATTTGTTCGTAAATATCGTTATTAAATTTAAAGAACGTAGAATTTAAAATGATGGAGATCGCTCTTTTAAACTCAAGATAGGTGATAGAAGTATTCTTACAAATCAAGTCCCATCTACTCAATACACTCTTTAACGCCAACTCCTTAGGTATATTAGAGTACATAGACACAATGTCAAAGGAAACTATACGATAATTTTCCTGCAAAGGCAAGCCATTGATTTTTTTAACCAACTCGAAGCTGTTTTTTATATAACCAAAATTTTTATTTAGACTTTTGTCAATGATATCTTTTAAATAAACCGC